ACACACACACACACACACACACACACACACACACACACACACACATATATATATATATATATACATAGAGTTTCGATATAGCACATTAAAAATTTAATATTAAAGTTGAACTATAATTCAAAACAATACATTATAACAACCTACGTTGTAACATATTGCTAAAATATTCTGAGCATTTGTATAAAATAATTAATTTATATAAAAAGAAGGGATAAATATCGATTAATTTATGTATCGAGTAACTTATATCAAATAATATCAAATAAAACATTAAAAAAGGACGTTAAAGGAGAATGTTAAAAAGAGACTAACTTCTGCCCATAAAAAGTTTAAAAGAAATAGTGTTTTTAACTTATTGGATATGATAAATTATAAAGTTATTAAAAAGTTTTTGGGGGCGATATATTGGAGAATACCTTGAAAATTGAACAAAAACATTGAAATTTAGATCCCATATTCGTGCTCAATTCTTCAAAATATTTCCTATATCTTTCTCGAACTTTTTACCGTATAATATATACTATGATATTCAGGAAGTCTCTTAAAATCTATTAAAAAATATTGTTTCCCTTTTATTTATACTCTTTTAGGCAGAAATACTCTTTTTATCAACCTCTTTTATAAAACGATTGTTATCAATATATAGTTGCATTAGTAATTTATGCTATACCTGATTAGAGTCCGTACTGTCGAGACCACTTGTTGGCTCGTCTAATAAAAAAACGGATGGTTGAACGAACATTTCCACGCCGATAGAAAGTCTCTTCCGTTCACCACCGCTTAATTTATTCGCCAATGTGTCCAGACACTTTGATAAGTTGAGACGTTTCGCGATATCGTTCACCTGAAAAAATGTCTGATGTATGCAATGCGTCAATCTATATAAATTTATCTATATAAACTCGCCAAGCTAAATAGTAGAAATAATAATAATATACCAGTATTTCAAATAAAGCGTCACAAATTTTTATCTCGGAAACACGGTATTATTGAGAAAACTTTTTCAGAACATAAGTAAGGTTCAAAAAGATCTATTTACTGATATTATTAATTTAACTTAATAAAAAGTTATCCAAGTAAAATTGCTTATTCTTATACTCAACAAACATGATCGAGAAATGTATTAAAAAATGTATTAATTTTGAAATAATTTCTTTAAGCATTCCCTAACTGTCCAGTAGATTCCGCATTATTGTGAATATACGTTGACATTGAATAAAGTAACAAAAAGTATGTAATGTGAATAGGAAAAATAAATGCGATAAGATATTATAAGAGGCCACTTGCGATAACATGTTTATGGATTCAGCGACGTTATAATAACTGAAGACTCCAGAAAAAAGACGACAGTCATTTGAGAATACGCAGAGTAGAAGGGGCATCTTAACAAATCAAGTTTTGTTGTAATAACACAAATCAATTACAATAACAAATTTCTTTTGTTGTCACAATGAATTTGTATGAGCAAGTGATTTTGCTTCAATAGCAAAAATATAAGCTAAGGACACATTATTTTAATTATTTTAAATTAACTTAGTTTAATTAGTTTAAATTAACTTAGTTGAAAGACAAATACACGTAGCAAATTTTTTCTCTTAGCAACAAAACATTCTACTCTAATAACAAGTAATTTCTAAAATTGATTGTATATGTTAATTAAATTTTATCGCTGCCGTTACAAATATGTAGTAGCAATGACAGATTTGCTACAACAGCAGAATCATTTTTTTCCATGTACTTGTAATTAATTTGAATGACTTTGTAAATCAAACGGTTGTGACATTGCAAATAAAAATAAAATAAATGTTATTTTTTTATCAATCACTAATTGCTCGATAGCTACGAAATCATTTCATTGTGTAACAGTTTTTCGAGCGGATAAGTATATTATTTAATAATATTATTTAATAATAAATTTTATGTATATATAAAATTATTAAATAAATAATTATATAAATATATATAATTCGTATATATATATATACACGAATATGCAACTGTTGCAACTGTTTTCTCATATTTATATTTTACTCACCATGGAACAAATTGCTTGTTTGCTCTGCTTAACGTCGAGTTTCAGTCGAGCTGCTGTGTAAAGAGTTTCTCTTGTTGTGAGATATGGCAATAGATCGAATTGTTGTGGTATGTAACACACCTGTTTGCGGAACATTTTTCTGTTTTGTTTCGCACCGTTGACGGTAATGGTGCCTTTAATATTGACCTGTTGTTTGCTCAATATGATTTTTAGCAGGGTGGTCTTCCCCGAACCGGAAGGACCGACTATCACCGTGACTTTCCCCGATTCGAAATGTCCCGTTACATTATGTAGAATGATTTTCTTAGTCCCTACAGTTGAACATTCTTATTTTACTATGTATAATCAAAAATGAAATATCAGTGTCGTATTTACGCATATTATATCCAAGCAGAACAATTAGGTCGCAATAACGTAACTAATAAGTGATGACTGATTAAAAAGTGACTTTTAATAATCATTTTGGAATCACTTTAACGCCATTTTGATATCAACATGATTTTTTTTCTATTTGGATAAGATCTATAAATTTAACGACATCGTTCGATAGTCGTCCGTTGTTCTATCCCAGTGAGAAATAATAATGGAATCGATAGAATTGATGTCAATTCGACGTCGAAATCAACGTCGAATCAAGCATGTCATCCAACTTATTTTGATTTTATACTATCATTTTGATTTTATTTAGAGAAATTTATTTTAATATTATTAAAATCATAAACGTATTTTGACTTGTTTTCTTTGGAGAGTAATATTTATAGGATAAGTTCAGACTTAGACAGAAAACCAGAAAGTAGAAAAGCAACAGCCAATCTAAAATTTCCGCTGATAGTAAGCAGTGGTAGAAAACCGAAACCAGCGCGAGTTCTGACTGGTTACTGCTTTTCTGCTGTCTGTTTTTCTGTCTGGATTTGAACCTCCCTCCTCACTGAACCACCCTCATGGCTTCTGCACACTGGACGCGGAAACGCTTGCCACGCGTAAAATGTGAGCCAATAAACTTACAGCTCCTAATGTGTTCATTGGTTACTGCATCATTTTGCCATGCAGTAAGCGTTTCCACGTTCTGTGTGTAGGAGCCATTTGCGTCCAAACTATCGAGCCAAACTTTAAATCGCATTTATATCATAAGCCGCATAATATCATTTTGATATCTGGATATCAATCATGAAATTTTATCCCTAGGATGGAAAGTGAAAGATGAAAATTTTAATCGTTGAAGTTAATGGAGAAATTTTTCACTTTTCACTTTTCATTCTAAGAAAAAAAGTTTCATGATGATATCCTGTAATGACCTTAGGAAGTGATTAAATCAATCTCTTGCACACTTATCTAAAATGTCTGAAGATATCATGACACAAAGTACACGGAAAGCATATTTTATAATATTTTTACCATGTTTAGTTTGATCATAAATGTGAAGTAATTTAGCAATCTACTAAACATTATAGATAAGAATGATAAGAATTTTTGAAATACAAAAAACATTGGTAAACTGCATATTATGACTTCACCGATTTCAAGGTTGTCAAGATTATGACCCTAAATCACCTCCAATGAATTTTAACTATCGCTCGTTATTTATTAAAGTTATTAACAACAAAAATTTAAGAAATAACGTCTTTTTTTTGCTATATGAAATGTTCTGCTTTAAAATATTTTATGACTTTCCACGCAAAGCGACTTTCACCCCACCTTCCCCCCTTTGGTTCAACGTTATTTCTCAAACATTTTTTGTTAATAACTTTTTAATGAACAACGAGCGACGATTAAAATTTGGAAATACGACTCAGAATCATGACCTTAACAATAGATATGACTTTATGTCAAGACTTTGAAATCGGTGAGGTCATCGATACTATGCAGTTTTATGAAAACATTTTATAATAGAAATTGTCAAGCAAATTGTTCTAAGAAAAAATATTTATCATGTACTTTACAAAATTTACATATTACATTTTAATACAAATTAATTGCTATTATATTATTTTAGCACGCGCGCGCGCTAAAATAATACACACACACACACACACACACACACACACACACACACACAATTTTCAGGAATTACTAGAGAGTTCTTAAATTAATTTTTGTATAGAATTAATAATTGCACTGCTAAAATGCAATACATTTACTTTTGTCTTCACATCTAATTTTAGAGTTAGTGAATAATTCTGTAATGCTGCATCTTATACTTTATTCTATATGAATTTTTATTCACAAGAAATTACCGCGTTCATGTATCGGTGATGCATCAGCCTTATGGATAAACAACTTTTTTTAAATGATGATTTTTAGTATAAAAAGTAAGAATGTCATCGGATATATCTTATCTAAGTTGCATAGTAAAAACATCACAAATGACTAACGTAAATCAAATTAAAAATATTGTTGTATTGTGAAATTTATATAAGATATTTTATATATGGTGGAGAATTTTACTCGCTTCAAGCGGATATCTCGGAAACTAAGAAAGGTAAAAAAAGTTTTATGTAAAAGTTTTCTTGGAGGAAAGAAAATGAAAATAACGAATTTTATATACATAGAATATCAAGATGAACATAAATTTTTTAAATTAGTAGAAAACTCTTTCCTTTAATTTTAACTCTTTATATAAAATGGATTGTAACCTGAAATATTTCAAAAATGTCTTGACATTAACTATATTCCTCTTAGTCAAGTATTCCCCCCCTTTGAACTTTCGTGTATTCTCATAACGCAAAAAGAACCTTACAGGCTTATCATATTTATGGATAGTTAAAGTTTTTTTTCAACCTCAATATGGATCTTCAAATTATATTATTTAAAAGTTACAGCAATGTGAAAAATCGTAGCATAGGATACCCATGAACGGCTTGCTAGAATTAAAGTCGATCTGGAAAGTAGAGATTTCAAGCTTTAAAAGGTTTTTTAAATATCTTGCTACGATGATTTTTCATTGAGTTATTGCTATTTGAAAATATTAAAAATTTGTGCAAAAATTTAATGGCCTGTTTTTTTTTGCGTGTGTAAGTGTATCATGTCTTATAGTTATGATTTTCAAATTCTTTCCAGAGAAAGAAAATTCTTTCCACAAACAAATATATTAGGGTGAAGACGCAGAAAAATCATTATATTTAATAGATATATAAAAATATAGATATATAAAAAATGAGCTTGCCTTTGAGATTGCAAGGAACCGAGTAACAAAGATCGTTGAATTCGATGTACATTTGTGAATTCCACGATTTCACAGGTTCCAATAATATTTCTGATTCTTGCATATGAATCTCGCAGTCGCTTTTCAGCATCTTTGCTGCATTATTTTTATCGTTCATTTCTAGCATCTCACTAAACACTTCGTAAAATTATAACTATAAAATTATATCCGTTGTTCCTTAAATTGATTAAAATTTAAGAGTTAGTAGTTACAATATGGTGCGACAAAACAAAGATGCACAATATGCGATGATCATCTAATACTTCATCAATCGCACTTGTCTGATTATAGTATTGAACTTTGGTTTTATGTATTGACTGACGTCACGCTGCAGATTATAGATGTTTTCTGTGATTGAATCAGTGTACACTTTTAGTGGAATTTAAAGTGAAATAGATATACGTTTGATATATATTTGTTTAAAGCGAGAAAGAGAGTTCTAGAACAGTCTAGTGAGGGAAACAGACATATAAGTGAAAAGTAGTGTCTAGAAGTTATGAATTTCAAAATCGGGCCTCGCCAGAAGCACAAGCCTGAGAGAAGGATGTACAAAACAGTATAAAAATCCTTCTAAATAAATCGAGTCCAAAATTCGGCTCGTGAATCGAAATATTTCTACCTCTTTTCGTCTTGGTAAAAGTAGAGCGTAATAACAAAGGATAGCTTGAATACAGATCTGTCTAAGCATTGTATGAATAAAGGACCCGAGGGAGCTCATCTCTCAATTTGCAATTATAAGCCGTTTTTATTTTGTTCATTATTGCCTGTGTCCTAATACCCATAATTATTATGCTACGCCGATCTTCTTCTAGCATTCTTATTTTTTATTATAGAAAAATATGAATATTCCCATATAGCACGGAAATTTGCAGCAGTATCCTGGTGAAAAATTTTCTCAGAATTTTTCATATAATTTTTCAGAATTTCTATATAATTTTAGAACTTTCTCACAATTTTTTTTATATTGGAACATTTCTCAAAAAATCTGTATCTTTTTCAGAATATTTTCAAAATATGTTAATTATAAAATATCGTTAATTATAAGATTTCTAAGATTTTTTGTAAGTATAATTCTGATGAAATATTATTAAAATCTAAAAAATTAAAAAATATTTTTTAAAAATTATGGAATGAAAAATTTCAGAATATTTCAGAATTCACTTGTATGAAAAATTCTGAGAGAAAATATAAACTTTCCGAATATTTTTGAGTATTTTTGAAAAATGTTCCAATTCGTATAAAAATTATGAGAAAAATTTTCACTAGGGTATTGCTGCAACGTGTTACAATATTGCAATGACGTAACGTTTGAATAGAATATAAAGCTGGAAACACAATAAAAAGCACAGGCAATAGGAACAGGGATAAGAAATTTCAACTTATCAGAAACCTGAATAATATTGGGTTGTCCGGTTTGTGCCGATTTTGAAGGAAAATTGAAACGTAGATTTAAATTTTTAATTTCATTTATTAAATTTAAATCTTTTGCGGCACGAACTTTCCGGACAATCCAATAGAATGGACGCTTTCTGATAGGTTGAAATCTTTTATTTTCTGTTCCTATTGCCTGTGCTTTTCAGTTTGCTGATGCTTTTGTGTTTCCAATTTAATTTCCAATTTAAATCAAATGGAACGCTGGCATCTAGTTTTTATTATTTACTCTTCATTTGTCTCGCTCTATCGAAATGGCGTATGGAAACGGCTCATGAGGCGGGTTTTAAGTGAGTCTAACTCTAGAGACTTGTTTCTAGTTATTTGTAAGATATCTTAATCAGTATAAAGCATCTGTTTAATCATGAAGTGGTTTCACAGGTTAATGCAGTAATGCTTCTTCAAAAAATAATTGAATACAGCTACTTTAAAAGAATAAAGTCCAAGTAATACGTATCTTTTTTATTCTCATTCATTTTAATCTAAATAATAATATCTTTAATTTTCCTTAAAAAACTAATAATATAAAAAATTACACTAATTAAAATAAAATTTATACATATTATACATATTATAGTGAGGGACAAAAGTTCCGGAACGGTTGAATATCTTAAAAAGCATTTTTAGAAAAATGCATTTTTTAGAAAAATATTTCAGACATAAAAATTGTAGAATTTAAAAAGAACTATTTACTTCTCGATCTTATCGATTTGATTTTAGATGATATTGTCAAATCAATGTGTATCCATTTTTTTAAATGGAAACTCTCATTTTTCATTACATACTCTTGTATCTTATCTCGAGAATATTTTGAAATACTATAACAATATATATAACTCTATATATATATATAACAACATATTTTTTCATTAAATATTTTTTGAGTTAATATGTTAAACATTACAATACCACCGGCATTAGCATTATATGTAAGTTGAACATTATGATACCACCAACATTAGCATTATTATGAATATACAATAAGTGTACAACTGGATGAGTAAACTTACAAAAAAGTGACTTTCAACGAGTGATCTGACGATATAATTATACAAACCTTGGATCACGTTTAATAATTACATAAACCTTGGATCACGTTTAATAAACATAAAAAAAGAACTTAGTAATACAATATTAGCTAAATATCAGTTGTTGATTCAAACTGTATTGATAAAAGTTGGCTTTTGAAGATAAAACACATTTGTCATCGATTCAACTTTATTTAATTAAAATTAAAAGCGTACTTAACATGAATAGTTAAAAATGAAATCATATCATGTTCGATTTTTTTAATGATAGCATATAACTATGCCTACTCTGATGCATACTAGAATTCATTCATACATTGAGCGCTGCATATACATGATTTTTATATTTATTGTGGATAAATAAATATATATTATTATATTTATTATTATTACTTCATAGCTTATTCCCTTGCATGCAAAAGAAATAATTGCTAATTTCATAATTATTTATCGAATGTCAGACTGTATACATCAAAGCAAGCATAGCAGCATGCATGCATGCATGCTTATCATTCAAGAAATTGAGCATTGAGTGATTTCATTTTAAATAAGTGGCTATTCTCATTATCTTAGCCGCGTAACGGAACATTCCATTCGCAATTGTTTCTGAGATTTATCGAGTATTTTTACAACAGAAAATATTTTTCGCTGCAGCATCTAAATTTTAGCAGTTAATAAATTGAGCTTTGGCAGCAACGACAGTAACAGCTCCTTACTATAAGGACATGTTTTAAAAAATACGCCGCAGCTCTATTTTAGCTGCGTTGACTAATCTTTTCTCTGCGTAAAACATTACAATTACAGAGTTTTGCAATATAACGTACTAATCTTTTCTTTGCGTAAAACACTGTAATTACAGAGTTTTGCAATATAACGTACTGAACATTAATTAATAGAAAAACATGCTTATATACTTAAGCATTAAATTACGGTGAGGACTCTAAATAAAAATTGAAACGTTCAATTGATATGAAAAGGTAACATATTAATTTTATTATAATAAACCAATTAAAATTTTTATCAATAAAATGTAAAATGCTTATGTAAACTTCTGCAGTTCTTGATGCATAAATAAGAAATCAAAATATAATAAAATAAAATAATAGTTAAATTTCTTGAAATATCCAATATACATAAAAAATGTATAAATGTATAAATGTTTCAATCTTCGATTTAAATTCTCTTTAGTGTAATAGTCAGTAAATATATAGCAACAGAAATGTGAACAGTAATCTCTCTTCTTGGTTGTCATCTAATATCAAACAGTTAAATATCAAAATATATAATCAAAACAGTCAATAAAAAATGATCAAATGAAACGATAAAGCAAGAAGAACGTCTTGCGAAGTAATGTATTATGCAATGAGAAAAAGTAAACCCAAGTAGGACATGACATTAGCTAATATTCTATCTTTATACTGAATGTATTGTGATTATACCGAAGAAACTGAAAATGTTAATGTGACGTCTCAGTAAAATATCATTTTTTGTATATTGTCAAGAGGTATTAAATATAATAACTAAACTTCAATTTTAATATTAAATGTACCGTTATTATATCAAACATATTAAAACTCTCTAAAATATTCTTGCGTTATCTCTCATGTATATTTGTAATATATTTTCAGAATAAATGATTTTAATGCAGAACTAGAACGCTATCTGTATCAGTGATAATCTAACCTTTATTCTGTTACTTACAACAAAATCTGTGTCGAAACTTGAAATTCTTACTTCCGCGTAATACTATCTCTAAAAAAAATCGTCGCATTATTTAACCCGACATTCATAGTTCTTTTTATGATCATCTTGAGTAATGTCTTAAAATGCTAACAGAGTTCTGTGATTGAAAGTCATGAAGAACCGTACTTATCCGCGGCAAACGCATCTCGATTTAGGTGCTGTTCTTATTTGAATATTTATACCGGAAAGTGATGCCGACTTATGCCAGGACTCGGTAAAGTAACTGATGACTTATTTGAAATAAAAAATATAAAACAGATTCCAAGAACTTATTTAAAAATATTAAATAAGAAATAAATCACAAGAAATTATTTAAAATATAAAATAAGAAATAAGGCCCGAAAATGTATTTATTTATTTATTTATTTAAAATATAAAACAATTTTTATTTAAAATAACTCGTTT